CCCATGTTCAAGTTCTAAATCCCCTGAAAAGCATATTAATTGTATAATGGAAGAGTTGGTGCAAACAAAAAAGTAAACTGGGAAGAATGTCGTCTTTGGCAGCCCACCAGTGCATAAGGTATACTGGGTAGTCAAATGGGTGCCGACATGTGCATGACTTTAAGGCATACTCTGAAGACCCGTTGCTGTGGTAACTAATCAGAAAACTAGAACCTCCCATGAATGAGTGCTGCTTGGATTGTGCCAGATGGCTGATAAATCACATAGTGGTATTTTCTGTCCATCTTATTATAGCCTCATCTTTTTTGCTATATACACTGTGATTTGCCTTCATAGCAGTTTATGTACAGATTATTGAGACATGACACACTAGTATTAGATATAAGGCTGTTTCATGTTTTCCAGTCATTTTAAAGAATTATCTGCATCGTCCATACAATACTGGGACTTTCCTCACGGTATTCCTTGATGCACAAGCTGTGGTGAACCTTTAGCTCCTAGCATGGCTATGTTTTTATAAACATGCCAAGCAAAGAGGAACTCTATGCTCCATATTTAAACATGACATCAAAAACCCATTACTATTTAGGATGTACATTACATTAGAATATACCACACAGGCTATGGTATATTTGTTGCAGATGGAAATGAAATATCAGTTACAGTCATTGGCTCTGCTGCAAGCATTTCAGTAAAGGGAATTTCATATTAGCAACCATACACACAGCCTTACTGGTATATCTAAGATAAACATCAGTATTGCAACAGGCATATTGTGAATTTAAAAAAAAAGAAAGCTCATCACCAGGCATTTTCTGTATTACCTTTGTTATTATTGAGGCCACTTCAACCTGGATTTCAGCTTTCCTCCTCACAGTCTAACTTCACTATTATTAAATGTACTAGACCCATAGAAGCAGGCACTGTACAAAGACACAGTAAGAGAAAATCTCTGCTCTGCACAGTTTACAATCTTCATTCTTTGTTTGATCCGACAGGAATAAACCTCATTTGTGACATCACAATTTATTGTTGTAGCAATAAATATGATGTCACAGGGATAGCTTTACAACTTTGCCTGAAAACTTGGCAAGGAAGATTATGAAAATCAAGCAATAGGTAAATGGATGTATATTTTCCCTAGAATGAAAGGCCTTTTTTAAGAAACAGAACAGAAGATGATGAAGCTCGGTTACGTGCTACAATGCTGTGTGTCTGCTGGTATACTATGACATTTATGGTCACTGCACTGGAATAATTTCTGCAGTCTTTGTGGCCTGCTGTGCTTCACTTTCACAATGACACTGGCTGAGCAATTGTGTTCTGTTATGTCACTTTATATCATAGTGAAATGAATTACATTCCTATGGTGCATGAGTAAGAACCTGGCATCTAAGCCTGCTATTGTGCGTACAATGACATCTTACATGCAACTGCAGCTGTTTGCATTTAAATTGATTATTCTTCAGTAGTATAACTGGATAAAGGGACTACAACTAGGGTTATCTCCCATCTTTACCATTCTGAATAAACAACCAAACACAGGAGGTTCCATCTTAGTCTAATATCTGATTTGAAAGACTGCACCTGCCAGCCTGTATGCATGAGCCCATGTTGGGGTGGGAAATGTAACCACAACTTTCTGATCCAACCTCACCAGATAAAGTCAAAAGCAAATACAGGCGACTTTCCTCTTTTTGTCTCCAGACCTGACATACAAGATCAATTGAGTTTATTAATCTGTGGCACGACTGTCATCCTATAGACATGTTGGGTGGACTTTTCAAAGGTACTCAGTGTTGCCCTACATCTGTTCAGCACTTTTGGAAATTCTACACCATACTGCACTATAAACTGAATTCTTACAGCTTACAGAACAGACTTAGTGGTAGAGGCTTATTGTTACAACTTGTAGCTGTCAGTTAAAGCCACCAAACTGTTTGTGTCATACACATCCCAGGTCATCAGCTTTCTACTTTGAACCAGTATTCCACTAGAGAGCAGATCAGGACTGAGGGAATGGTTTGACTAAATAAAAACAAAATGGGGTCCGGTAGCTATACACGCATTTAGAAAAAAATATATATTGGTGCATTTTTCAGTTAAAAAAAAAAGCCAAATCCCAGAAGCCTTAGCAAAAGCATTACATCTTTTCTCACCCTTCTAGTTTCATGAACACAATTTCAATCCTGAGGAATCTGAACTGTTGGTATACATGAGGAAGTGGACATTGAAAATCTGCATAGGAATTTTCTGTATTTAACAACTGTAAATTTTGTTTCAATCTATACTGGTGTATTCAGCAGCAGTTCTGAAGAGTATTCACCAGTATGTTTCCAATTTTTACAAATGGAGAGCTAGATCCTCAGCATGTATAAACTGGCCTAGTTGCATTGCTTTCCCTCAGTCCTGTTCTGCATTCTCATGCAATACTGAAGTCAACAGAACTGTGCTGATTTACACCGGCTGAAGATCCTGCTTATTGCATCTGCCTGATTTGGATCTTCACACATGAACATACCCATAAAATCAAGACTGCATTGGAAAATGTGGACAATGCACCATAGTTAACATTCTACCATTTGAATGAGGAAACTATTTATGTATTCCCGTTAATTTTCAAGTTCATGTTAGCTTCTGGACAAACTTGGCTTTTATAAGTTAAAGGAATGTGAGCCCTTATCAAACCTCTTGGCCTGTTTTTATTTGCTGTGTAGTCTGCAAGATAGTTTCTGCTGTATTTTGTTGTCATTTTGAATGTTTTACTCATTAGCAAGTTGCGTAATTTAAAAACTAACCTCATCTTATGACCAACTTGGAGAATTAAGAGGGATGGGAAGAATTTTTTCTCATCTCTGCAATATTTTCACAATTTGGCAAGCTGCATTATGGCTTTTTGTTTTGCTTTCCTCTTGGATCCATCAGATAATTGGGTCACAGCTTCAGAGAGCTATATTAAGTATGCACCTTAGATCTTTTTGGGTGTCATTTCAAACATTGGACTAACCTGGTCATTCCTTACACTAACACTCTTCTCTTTCTCTTCATGGATTTGTGCAAAGCAGGAGCTACCTAACCCTTCAGACTGCACACATGGCCACCCTCTCTGACTTACTCTGGTTGATAATGAATCAAATAAATCAGTGCTATATTTTTTTGCAGTAGGTCTACTAAATACACTTTGACCTTCAACTACTGTTGCGTGTAGATTTTTTGGTACCCACAGAAGGACTGCCCTAAATGCCAAAGGCATAATGGATACTAGCTAACACAGGGACAGCTCTGATTCAAAGGAGGGTAAGAGAGGGGTACGAATACGGAGACAGCTGGTTGTTGCCATACCTGTCTTTTGCCCTTTTCCTTTCATGGATGAAAGGTCTTTTGTGCCCTTCAATTTCCCCTCTCTAAATATAGGTATCCTTTCTGATCTTCCTCTTCCTTTCACCTCTCATCTCTTACAAGCAAAACTAAAAAATGTTTTTGTACGGCCATACATTTTACTGACATTTTAATAAAGACAAATAGATAAACAGATCATCTGTACAGTGTTAACCTTATAATAATGTACAGAGCACTTTTCATCTGAAGATCTCAAAAAGCCTTACTATCCCCATAAAATTCCCCACAGATTATCTATGAAGTAACTGAATTACAGAGAGGTTACATGACTTGCCCAGGCAAAAAGCAAACTTGTGACAAACTTTGGAATAGATGCTAGTTCTCATAACTCTTTGTACCTTGCTCCAACCACTCAAGGTTGCTGCTTTACACAGCTCTAGCAACAGATGTCAATAGAAAAGAACCATTAAAGATTTATATATGTTCTATATGTTATAACTGGAGGGAATCTAACAACAAATTAAACAGTTATGTAGCTCATATCCAGGCACAATAACTTGGTTTGCCAATGTGGCTCAACTCTGTTCTGGTAGAAACACCTCTCTGGGTGAGCTAATAATTCAGTCAAAATCCCCACTTAGTCCTTATCCTTGCTGTTGAGACTCCCAACAAGGGTGCAAATTGTGAGGGCATTTCCTGTGATGTGGACATTTGCTTACTTAGAACCAGCCTGAGAATGGCAAATTCATTTCACACAGGCCATAAGGGCGGATAACAGTAATTCATGGAAGCAGTGTCCAAAGCTGCCCTTACCTCACAAAAATTCCTGAAATCATCCAGATTTTAAATTTTCTGTGCTGGGAGAAAGTTAATTCTAAAGTGCACAGTTCCAGAAATAATGTATATTGTTTTTCTTTCAGATTTTTCTTTTGACACAAGGTTCAATAAACTGATTTTCTGTTCCCCTATTGTCAGATTAGTCCTTTGATGTTTCCTATGCCCTATGCTGCTCCTCCAACTCCGCCAGTCCCTTCTTCCCCCATCCCGGCTTGTCCCTGCTCTTCCTCTGAAGACTCTGGCCTTTGATGCTCTCTGTTCATCCTCCTAACCAGTCCTGACCTCCACCATCCCTTTGACCTTCCCTTCTAGATTTTGCATCGCTCTTTCTAGGCAGGAGGCGGTTGGATGATGAGATTGAGGCACGCTCAAGGCTGTGCAGAGCGAGGGTCCTGGCCGCAGACTTGGGAGCCGCATAGCGGCCTCCTGCACGTGTCTGTCCCCCTACAACAGCAGACATACTCGGCTGGTCCTGTGTGTGTGTGGACGGCTCTTGGGCCAACCGTTCAAAACGTGGCTGGCCCAATTTTCACGTCCCGTGACCAGCGCGTGCACCAAGCGGCCCCAGGCCGGGGAGGGGAACTGGGTGCACGCTGAGCGACTGTCATTTGCCCCCTCACCCGAGGCAATGATGCAAGAGACCTGCCTGGGGCACGGGCTGGCGTGGGCACCCCCCGAGCGCGGGGCTCTCTGCGTCTAGACCCAGCCCGGCCCCGTTCCTCCGCCGGCTGCCGCGCGCGTCTCCTGCTGCAGCATAGCAGCGGCCCCCGCCTCCCCGCCACCCGCCTGGCCCTGCCCCCGGCGCGGAGCAAGCAGCGGGCGGGGCTGGCTGCTGAGAGGCTGCTCCCGTGAGCCGGAGCCCGGCTGTTACCTGGAGAGGCCGCCGCCGCCCTCGCGGCTTCTATCGCAGCAGAAGCCCGGGGCAGCTGGAGAGGAGCCCGGGAGCAGCCCGAGCGCCTGGCAGGTGAGATGCCCGGCCTCCGGGGCCGCTGCTTCGCTCGCCTCTGCCTGGGGCGAGCCGGGGAGGGGCTGGCGCAAGCTGTGCCTGCAAACGCCTCCTTTGAGCCGGTCTTGGGCGCTCGGGACGTTGGGCTGAGCCCCCGGCTCCTGCCGCTGCTCTCCGGCGACCAGGGCATGCGGGAGGCACCCTACCGCTATGGGGAGGGAGGGGGGGCGCTGAGCCAGCGCTGGCCCTCGGCTTATTGCTGTCTTCAGCGGGGGTGCAGCTGGAGAGCTCCCATCCGCGGTGGGTGTGACGCTTCCGAGCCACAGCGGTGCTTTCCAACCTTTGTTCAGTTGCAAACGCCTGGACAATTTCAGACCCCTTTGGCAATCAGACATAGTTTGCGCCCCCTCCCCCGCCCCGAGGTCTGCGAAGGGCAGGTGGAAAACCACGGGGCTTAGAGGATGTGGAAAAGCTCCACGGCTGGGGAGTTAGCCTGCCTGCCTACCCCGTGCGTCGCTATAGGGCTAGGTGGGTCTAAACCAGCCAGATAACTGTAGCTCATCATGTGTGTCACTATAGCTCTGGAGTATAAAGAGTACGGTATGTGGATAGCCTTATCCACGCACCAAATGTGTGTCCAGATATGTTTGGCCCTATGGTTATAGCCTCTCGAGTTAATGAATAGTTGTTCGTCTGCTGAGTGGCTCACGGTCTGTATGAAATTTTCCATTCATCTGCTTCCATAGTGTTAGAAAATCTTGTCTGCCTTACCCATTGTGACTCCTTAATATGACCACAAGCTCCAAATATTTCAGCCACAAGGGTTAAGACCTGATGTCAATATACAGTGCAGCATAATATGGCTACCTCCTCTATCTATATTCTGTTCCTCATTCTGTCTCCTTTAACCCTGCTCTACAGAAGTGATTTTAATTGTGTTAGAACACATCATGCCAGGGAGTCCCATACTAATGCGCTGTGGAGTGATTGATGTGTGTTTTGTTCAGATTACAGAGAACAAGTGGGGCATTTTATTCTGGTTTGTTAGGTGATGTTTGCAGTTTTTTAATATCACTTTATTTACTTAAGTACAGTAGCATTCTGAAGAAGTGTCTTGTACACCTGCAATGCATTCAGCTTTTGTGGATTACTTATTGTGACACTAATGCAATTTTTTTCCTAAATAGTTATTGGATTTTTTTTAACCACAAAGCCTAAGATTGAATAGTTATTTGCTTTTTGATGTTTGTTCTATGCAGAATCTTAAGAGTAAGGATGTGAGGTAAAGGTCTCAAATGACATTGAATTTTGAGGCTGACATCAGTAAGTCTTGTCCTTGTCCCTAGTATGAAAAAGGAATCTCTGAGCATTCTTAAAAAAAAAATTAAAAGTGGTGAGAAAAGGTTTAAGATACTCTCTTTTTTAAAAAAATGGAGTTTTACAGTCACCTTGAAATCCTGGAAACCCTTATATATGTGCTTAATTTTGCTTGTAGGAGTAGTCCAGTGAGTAAAGTTACTTACATGTGCAAGTATTTACTGAATTGGAGCCTATATCTATAATGTATTGAGTTGGGTACTGTACTTATATTTATAAAATGGACTTTACCCCAATATTTATATCCAAAATTCAGAAGGATAACATGTTTTAGCAACCGCTCATGAGGAAGACAGCTAGATGCCCTCATAAGGCTACATATTAAGGCCCCGATTTTCAAAACATGAAAAGATATAACTTTTATTCGCATGAACAGTCACACCAAAATTAATAAGACTGCTCATTTGAGTAAAGCCATGCACCATATGGGGCCTTAGATTTGATAAGAGAGAAGCAATTGTGTTGTAACAGACTCAAATAGGAAAACATGTATAAATCTCTTCATACTGTGATGTGAACTAATAACTTAAATGAATATAATACCAACAACTATAATAACCTTATTAATCTTTTGTTAGAAATTTATGGGAATAGGTTTAACTAACTGCTGACAGCCATCAGGGCACATGCTGTGGATAATTATTGCTTTATTTCCTCTTAATTCTAATTTTAAAACATATCTAAACAACAAACTGCTGCACTCAAAAACAAAACAAACCCCAACAAAACCAAGTATTTGAAGGGGCTTGAGCTTTCTCCCATTGAAAATAAGACACTCATTGATTTCAGAGCATCCAAGCTTGGAGAGAGCTTAATTCAATCATATGTAACACTTCTAAAGTAGATAAAATCTGTCAAGCAGTTAAGGTCCCAAAGCCACCTTTTACAATCTGAAAATAGACAAGTTACAAAATGTCTGATAAGTAAGCAAATCCATTTACAGTTTATGAGCTTGTTTTATATTTGCAGAAATTTTGGAGGACAATATATTTTTACTGCTAAAACAAGGCATGACTATTTTTTTAATGTTTACTTTAACTCTCTGAAAAGAGCTGGTGAACCTAGCTACTCAGAAAAAAACTTAACTGCATACAGTTGATACAGAATTAATACACTCACTTATATTTTGTAAACTTTCAATATTGACTTGTTTCTTGTAGACACAGTTCTGTTTAATGTGGCCACAAAGGCCAGATTTTTGTCTCGGAGTGCTCTGATTCTTCTTAAATCTCTGTAAATTCAGTAGAACTTTGGGAACATACACATTCACAATTAGCACCAAAAATTGCTGCCTATTCCTGTTTCTCTGATGCCATTTAAACAGCAGAGTTCTGCAGTGATGTGTTTTTGTTTAGTAATTATTGTTACAAGCTATACTAGGTACACTTACTATGCTCAATTATGGTACAACCAACACAAACTGAATTATATCTTTTAAAGTAAGTAAACAAAATACTTTCGATGCATTCTCTGCCTCTTTTGTTCACCTACTCATAGACATGCAATTTTCAGCAATGTGAAATGACCTGGTCAGTCTGAATTAGCAAGGTATGCATGTAGGGTGAAATTCTTTCTTCTGGGGAAATACTGCAACAAAAAAATAAAAAATCTGTGCACAATATTTTAAAATTCTGCATATTTTATTTGTCAAGATCACACAATCTAATCACACCAGTTTCAATTATTTTTGGTAATTTATTTCAAAATACCTGTCAGCAAGTATTTCTGTAACAATACAGACAACAAAAATGATTCAGGAAATGGTTTTTGACCAATAGATTCCTTACTAGGCATATTAATACAGAACTGAGTAATAATTCATTTAAACTACAATACAGAACCATATTTCCCACTCCCCTCAAAAGCAGTGCAAAGGCTTGGGGGAGTCAGGGGTAATGGAGGACTGAGGGAGAGGGAAGTAATTGCTAGGAGGGAGCTTGGGTGTGAACTTTGAGGGTTGTTGGGTATGGATGGGAAAAGTATGGAACAGGGTTTTTTGGGGGGTGGGAAGGGATTGTTAGGGAGCTTCCCCTATGCAGACGTTGGCTGACCCCTAGCCTCTCCTTCAGTCAGGCACATCTATCCCTATCCCCATGTGTCCTGGTAGCCCTGTCCATGTGTCCCTTCACCCCCACTCAGACACCCACTCCCCCATCCCTATGTGACCCTGCATCTCCTCCCCCGTCTCAATGTGTCTCTGTGCCCCCACTCAGCCACCCCCATCTGTATGTGGCTCTGTAGCCCCTCCCTGTCACCATGTGGCCCTGCATATCCCTCCCCTTGTGGCCCTGTGCTTTCAATGCCATTTAGCTCCTGCCCCAATCTGTCCTCTCCCCTTAATCCTTATGAGCCCCTGTCTGACCCCCCCCCCCAGCCCCACGCTATCTTTCTCCCCATAGACCCTGTCTCCTGACCTGGTCCAATAGACGCTGTGAAGAAGGCAGGCTCTTTCTCTTCCCTAGCTGGCCGGGAGCTGCTGCTCTGTTCTCTCTGGTGGGCAAAGACGGAACTGCAGCAACTTTCTGGCAGAAGCTTTTTTCTGCCCCAGAACTTTAAAATATGCACGGCTCATTAATTATGCACGCACAGTTGTGCAGAATACCCCCAGGAGTAAATTCTCCTCCTGTGTAATGGGTCAACACATCCTTTAAATCAGCGGTTTTCAAACCTTCTGAGCTGAGCCCCCTGTTTGAGTTACAAGTTTTGGCTATGCCTCCTCTCCCTCCCCCAGACAAAAGTAGGCACATGCAAACTGGGATGCTAGAATAATTTGTATAGTGGGGGTACTAGGAGCCATTGAACCAAACTGTAAATCCTGTACATGATGGAAACCACTTCAAGCTAGGGGGTGTGGCAGCATCCCTAGTTCCAGAACCTATGCATGCAAAAGTATGCTTGATAACCTATTCATAAACCCAACAGAGACCTTAATCCAACATTAATTAAATTACCTACACCTGTAAGTTTCAAATAAATAGATACTGATGTCAACGTACAGTGCAGCATAATATAGCTACCTCCTCTATCTATATTCTATAGAAGTGATTTTAATTGTGTATTCTGTCTGAATATGCAGCATGTAATACATACTGTGCCTAGAGTCCTGTGCTTTGTCCACAAGACCACTCTCCTCTTATCCATTTTATGTACAAATAAGATTACTTTTACTGCAGACCCTCCCCCAGTATAGTCATAATGAGAGCCCTGCAAATCCATGGATATCCGCTTGATACCCACAAATAGTCAATCAGATGTGGATAGTTGATCACATGCGGCACCTGGCCCACGGCATGTGGCTCAGGCAGCATGGGGGATGCAGCGCACTCGGGGCCGGTGGCCAGCAGCCAGTGGCTGGGGCTGGGCAGCAGGCCGGAGTCAGGGCTGTCCAGCACCTGCTTGCCGTGCCGCTTCCTGTCCAGCAGCTCGGGCCCCTCGGGCAGTGCTAGTGTTCTGGCCATGGCCTGGCCCGGCAGCACTGGCCATGCTCCTGGCCTGCCGGCTCCTGGGCAGCAGGACCCACCCCCGGCAATTGGCGCGGGTGAGCCCCTAGCACCCCACCCCTCCACCCTGCCATGATGCAACAGTGCTGCTGCCATAGCTCGTGAGCTCCCAGGAGCAGCACGTGATGTGATGCCCCTTCA